TTGCGATGAACTGTCCAAATTCACTCCCTATTTAATCGCGATTGGACAGTCCAAATCAAACGCAATAGACAGTCCAGATTAAATAGGGACGGATATAAATAACCTCCTTCACACCAAACCCTAACCCTAGCTGCCAGCCACCCTCGCTGGAGAAGAAGACCCAGCCGTCAGGAAATAGAGCCGTCGTCACGCCGGAGCTACTTCCGATCGCTAAAAAAGGTAAAAATTTCTCCCTTAGCTCAGAATTCAATTTTGAACACCCCCATGGCCAAATCGAAGCAAAAGGACCGGTCGATTGACTGAAAACTGTGGGCAAAGCCCAACGGCGCCACCGCAAAAAATTTCACAAAATGCCTCCATTGAAGCCGTTCCCGATTCTCGTTCTGCATAATTTTTTCATTGTTGTGATCATCGTTTCCTTCTCTACAGGCTGATCGGAGCAAAACACCCAATCGCAACGTGAGTTAGAGGAGTCGCCGCACCGGAGAGCCCCGCCGCAGGTGAGTTTTATTTTTTTATATTTTTGGGCCAACCAAGGCCCCTTAACGTGTTTTCTCGCAGGGGTAGATGTCAAAAATGCTATGGAAGGTACTCTGCAATAAAGGCCGTCAAGAATTGTTCCCAAGTGACTGGAACGGGCAGGGTGGCCTGCTTGAATTGGCACCAGCGGCATGCCTCTCCCACCAGCAGGTAGGTGACAAGTATGACTCTCTATTTGGCTCTCTGTTCAGGAATCACCCCAAGAGTTGTGAAGGTCTTCTCTGTCTCAGCCAACCAGTACTCGGCCTCTTCAAAGGAGGATACCCTGCAAAAGTAAATAAGTTTAATCTTTTATACCTCTCAATGTAATCTGAGTCCATCATGGGAGGAACTGGATCCTGTGGGAGAGGAACTGGATCCTGTGGGAGAGGAACTGGATTGTGCTGATAATGGGTTGAATGGCCCTGTGGTGGTACTGGGTGATAAGGTGGAGACACCAGTTATACTGTGGTGGTGCCGGGTGATGCGGTTGGGGCATTGGACTATACTGTGTTGGTGCCACTATGGTACTGTGGCTGATGCACCA